ACGTATTGCAGCCAGAGCTGCAATTTTTAAACTGCTTGGGGGAAGGAATATACCAATAAAAAAGAAAAATGAGCCCAAAGTTGGGCTAAACTCTACCTTTCCCTGGAAGCACCTCATTGTACACTGAGTGGCCAGATTATTATGACCACCTGACGTTTCTAGGCAAATTAGCTATAATTTGGCGCTGAAGTTGCTAGAGGGCCAGACCATTATAAATAGGGAAGCAGGTTGTTTACCACGACAGTACAAGTGATTTGTTTCTGAAGATACGGAGAAACAATGCGATTTAACAGCCTTTGAACGTGGGATGATTGTTGGCGCTCGGAGCCATGGAGCGAGTATCAGCAAAACAGCAGAATTCGTTAAATGTTCAAGAGCAGCTGTTGTTAAAGTGTTTAAAGACTGGACTGTCAGCCGAAAATCTGGGTCTGAACGTGCGAATTGTGGCCGCCAGCGACTAGTCAATGTTAGGGCAGAACGGAGAGTGGCAAGACTGGTACAAGACAACAGAAGGGAAACAGTGCAGTGTCAGATTCCTCGCATCACCTTTCATCATCTCGTGGAGTCACGAGGCGGCCCAACGAAGTCATCTCGTGGAGTTATCTCGTGGCCCAAAGAAGTACTGAGGGGGTGGTCATAATAATCTGGCCACTCAGTGTAAGGCTTCCACATACCATTGACCACGTACATATGCACAAACGGGCAGTCTGAGCCACACATATTTATACCACTGTCGTGCTAAAGAAAGACTTTACATAAGCCAGATTGTTTTTACATAGCTGATCTCATCTGATGTCTATGGAGGAACCTTAGACCCAAGTTTTATGGCCCGCACTGAAAACCCCACCCACTTGTCATCATACACATTATTCAAATTTTTTAGCTGTCATAAAAACCGACACGTTTCTGGCCATCCACGTGTAAATCTTCGCTATCCTCCTTTAGACCTCTTATGCAAACACACACTTTCACAAAAGGTTCCGGCGTTTAATTTTAGATTGTGTCTGCATTGCACAAGTTCCCCTTTTAGCTCTGGTTAATACCGCATCTTCCATAAAAAGATTTGATACCTTAAAATTATGCACACATAAAAAATAAAAAACTAAGGGCCACTTTTCAAGGCGTGACAATGAAGCAGCTCTTGCGATGACCCGACAACATAGTGGCCCCCTTGCTAGCGACAATGTAAAATATCGGTGGCCCATAAACGATCCCAGCAGCGCGTTAAATTTTCGGTTTTGGGTTTAGCTTTCTAACCGCTGCCTTTGGTCCTATTGGGAGATTTTCTGGTGCTTCCTTTACTGTCTTACGTCAACCAAATAGACAGGAAGTGTTGGAAAACTTCTCATTAGGGACAAAGCCAGCTAAAAAACACCTGAGCAAAGTTCCAATACGAGCGTGCTGTATGCAAAACAAAAAGGAAAGACACGCCTGCCAACAAGCAATGTTACCAACCTAATAAAAAAAAAGTTGAATACATTTACAAACTTTTATGTCTTCTTTTTACAATGTGCATAACATCTTTGCTTTACAAATGAGCATTTATTGCAGGGTGACATTTATTGCACGTGTGACAGAGGATTAACAGAAAACTATACACGTACATACATACACACACAGCATTGCAGAAGCCATTTCCTTTTAGATACTCTGTCTCTGATTAAAACCACAGACAGAGCCGTTCAGAGGAAAGGCAAAGAGGGGGAGAAGTCATCACTTTAAATAAGGGGTAGGCAGTGGCAACAAAAGGGGGTGCGGCCCCTCCTCTCTCTGCCGGCGTCCACCACCAAGCTGGCTGCAGGCATGCGTCAATAAGACGACCGCGAATGCGCGATGACGTCACGGTGGGGTGTCAGTCGGTCTCCACTCCGGGTGTCATCCAGCCTCGGGATGAAATCATGGGACCCCATACAGGTTGGGCTGTGCGGATTAATTATTATTAATAATTTTTATTTTATTATTTTTTTACTTTTTATCAGGTTTTTTGATTTATTAGTTTTCACTTTTTATTTTTCCCCCCCAATTTTATTTATTTTTTTACTATGTTTTTATTTTTTTTTACATTTTAGCAATTCTTTTTTACATTTCTATTTTATTATTTTTTTCCACTTAACTTCATTGCTAATCACACAAGGGATAACAAGCCCCTGTGTGGTAGCATTAGGAGGGGACAGGCTCTCTTCATGAGCCTGCCCTCCAATACAGAAGATAGAGCACATGTGTGCTCTATCTTCTGTACAGCTCAGGCTGTGGCAGCTGACACAGGAGCGCTGCGAGTAGAGCGGTCCTGTGTCACGTAGCAGAGCAGAGAATGGAGGTTCTCTGCTCGGCTACCCGCTCTCTATCCTGAACTGCCTTGCCGTGGGCTGGGGACCCAGAAAACCATGGCACAGTAGAAGGCAGCCAGCGGGGGGCGTCCCATGGAGGAGGGGTGTCGCACAAACAGGCTGCATACAAGTGATTTCAGGGGCTGTATAGCCGCTGAAATCACTCGTACAAAACGGCTCCTCTGCTTTACATTTAGCCCTTCCAATGAAGGGCTAAAAGTAGAAAAAAATCCCTGCCCAGCGCCCCTTCAGACCAGGCCCCCCCTCCCAGGTGGTGGAACGCCAGGGCCCGGTCGCAAATATGACCGCTTCGACCCTGGTAGTTCCCCCAGTGGGTTTAGGCAAACTTTAGAGCTCCAGCTGTGGTGCAACTGCATGAGGCACTGTCTTCCAGAGAGCTGGGATTTGCTTACCTCTGCTCTAAATCAAATCACAGGCCCTTAAATTTCAACTTGAGCTATTGAGCTCAGTAACCAACAGGCTTTTCTTTCTTTTTTTTGCAGCAAAGTAGATTAGTTTGGGAAAAGTATAAAAGGGGCTTATAGTGCCACCTGCTGGTTGAAAATAAGAATACCAGCTATTCTAAGACTACATTTACCTGACCAAATTAAACAAATACACTTTACACAGAAGTGTAAATTCCTGAATTTGACTTGGTTAACCTCTCAGAATCCTGGTTTCTTGCCTGAAGCCTACTAGCCATCTCCACAACACATTGGCATGGGAGTGTGGCCTTGTCTGTGACAACACTAGGGGCGGAGCATGATGCATGATTTGTAAAGGTTGTGTAGGTTCCCAAAAATGTATTTCTATACAAATGATTTCATATTTAATGAAACACGACATCGAGAACCATGGGAAGACCAATGTCAGATCAATCATTGGCAAATGTATCATAAAAAGGAACAAACTGGGTACAGATGTCCCCTAAACCCGCACCCGTCTTGTTTTATATCAGACCCTCATATCTATTTTACTGTGTCTTATCAGATCATATTCATCTGTTCTCTTCCTCGTTTCTTTTTTTTTTTTTAAAGTTTAATCTGATTTGTAACTTCTGCCCCTTAACCTTCCTCCTCCATCTGAGAAAAACAAACAATGTCAGGATTGTGGCTGAACTGGAAAATATGCCTCTGATCACCGCGCCCATGCCGAACCTGCCCCCGGGCTATCTAACATTGTGCATGGTTTAGGGCAACTGTGCTATTTCTGTCTCCAGGAATCTGTCTCTGTCAATTCTAAATATACACATAGGACCAGTTATATCAGCATTATATGCCCTCCTGATTAAACACGCGTGTCCCTATATGTTTAGGCCTTTTGTGTGCAGTATATACTATATACACACTGTAAGTCTGAGTCAAAGTAAACAGAATGTTAATACTCCCATTACCTGTTCTGCGGCATGCTCGGAATAAACCTAATTTCAGATAAACACGGCGGTATTATACTAGATGTTCCCAGAAATTGCAAAAATTATACCGTCATCCTCCGGGAAAAGGATACTGTACATAGTTCTCTTCTATTTCCGCCTGCAGGGTGAGGACGGACTCATAGCTCCCTTCTGTCTATGTCATCCTGCAGGAGGAGGACGGACTCATAGCTCCCTTCTGTCTGTGCCACCCTGCAGGGGGAGGACGGACTCATAGCTCCCTTCTGTCTGTGTCATCCTGCAGGAGGAGGACGGACTCATAGCTCCCTTCTGTCTGTGTCACCCTGCAGGGGGAGGACGGACTCATAGCTCCCTTCTATCTATGTCATCCTGCAGGAGGAGGACAGACTCATAGCTCCCTTCTGTCTATGTCATCCTGCAGGGGGAGGACGGACTCATGGCCGTCTTCTGCCTGTGTCACCCTGCAGGGGGAGGACGGACTCATAGCTCCCTTCTGTTTGTATCACCCTGCAGGTGGACAGACTTAGAAGGGTGCTATGTCTGGGTCACCCTGCAGGAGGAGGGGAAGACTTCATAGCTCCCTTCTATCTGTGTCACCCTGCAGGAGGAGGACAGACTCATAGCTCCCTTCTGTCTGTGTCACCCTGCAGGAGGAGGGACAGACCCCTAGCTCCCTCCTGCCTGAAGGACAGTTTTATAGCTCCCTTCTGTATGTGTCACCTGCAGGAGGAGGACAGACTCTTAGTTCTCTTCGGTCTGTGTCACCCTGCAGGAAGAGGGACACTCATAACTCCCTTTTGTCTGTGTCACTCTGCAGGAAGAGGGACAGACTCAAAGCTCCCTTCTGTCTGTCACCCTGCAGGAAGAGGGACAGACTCAAAGCTCCCTTTTGTCTGTGTCACCCTGCTGGAAGAGGGACAGACTCAAAGCTCCCTTCTGTCTGTCACCCTGCAGGAAGAGGGACAGACTCAAAGCTCCCTTCTGTCTGTCTCACTGCAGGAGGAGGGACAGACTCATAGCTCCCTTCTGTCTGTCACCCTGCAGGAGGAGGACATACCCATAGTTCTCTTCGGTCTGTGTCTCCCTGCAGGAGGAGGGACAGTTTTATAGCTCCCTTCTTTCTGTGTCACCCTGCAGAGAAAAGGACGTCTCCATTTTGGTTTGTACTTGCGCCTTAACTTGCATGATTTATGATTGATATTTACATGGCACCGACATGTCATACAGCGCTTTACATAGTTGCAAATTCACATTAACGTTAATCTCACACCTCAACGTACCTTAAAGGATCCCATAAAAAACGCAAAAAGATTATGTTTTGCCGCTGAAACTTTTGCTGCCTTTCTCTTCTTCCTCATGGTCTTTGGTGACGGTAAGCTCCAACCGCTGCCAGACTTGTTCTTTTCACCCAGGGGCTCTGCCCGGCCTCCCGAGTCCAAATGTGATTCACTCCGTGTCCTCCACATGGATCCGGGCACCCCCAGAGTTCTTCCATCAGCCCCTTCCTCTTCATCGCTGTCACAAACCAAGTTACCGGCACTGAAGGAGCGTTCCACCCGTACCTCCGGGATGGGTAAAGCGGGGCCTTTTTGGGAGGAGGGGTCAGGGCTGTCGGTAGGAGGGGCTCTACGGATCGCTACCCGTTTCCAATTTTGAGGGTTATCAGGGGAAAGGCAGGTTTCGCTGCCGGATTTACGGAGCGGGTTAAACACATGGAGCATCTGTGGAGAGAAGAGAATAGTGAGTCAGAATTCTTTTTGCAGCCATGAAATATCTTCAGACATTGTATATCTCTGGGGGAGATTCAATCAGACATCGGCATACACATTTCTCGAATGTTCAGTATGTAGGTACTTGGAATGCTTGTGCCAAATTCATGAAAATCCCGGCGACATTTTTATTGGCCGTACCGACGCGTGCCGCAACTTCGAGTAGCTCTTATTTGCAACATTTTTATTGTATGGTGCTATTGCTATGACAAATTTATAGATAAATACTTCCATATCGGTGATGACAAAAGTGAATGTAAATAAGAACATGTTGCAGTAAATCAGGGTTAGGCAGCCTTGGCACTCCAGCTGTTGTGGAACTACAAGTCCCATGAGGCATTGCAAGACTCTGACAGATACAGGTAGTTTTCCCACCGTTGGAGTGTCTATCCACTGCCTAGGCTGTGGGGTTGTGGTTTGTTAGGGTGGTGGTGCAAACTAACAGTGGTCTGGCTGGTGTCCTGGTGGTGCACCGCCCAGCTGTGGATGGCTTTGCGTCCAGCTCACTGTCATTGGTTGGCAGGAGTTGGGTGAGACGCCAGCCAGGGCGTCCCAGGTTGCCAAGAGCTGGGTGGGGAAATGTGTATGGCCCTTACACATTTCCCTGATGGCTCTTAGCAACCTGGGAGCTCTGGCTGGAAAGAGACCCAAAAACATGCCGCCTGAGGCAATAGCTTCAGGCTACCTCATTATAGGGACCTTAGCAACCTGGGTGCTCTGGCTGGAAAGAGACCCAAAAGCACGCCGCCTGAGGCAATAGCCTCAGGCTGTCTCATTAAAAAGGGACAACCCTGGCTTCTCTACCATTCTAAAAGGAAAGATGCTTACGATAGTTGTCAGAGTTGTAGCACATTCATTACTGGAATGTCCATTAATAATAGGTTACTGCCCTTTGACACATTACCACTAGACGCATCTACAACGTTCTTTATGGTTTCCAGGGACTATGTCTAAGGGAAAGCAGCTCACTAAGGGAACACAAGGGGCATATACATGTTACAATGAACCATAAGAGCAATGCTGAAGCACAGGCGCCTAGGAGCAAGGTGTACATGGAACCACAACTTCCACCACGTTGAGACCAAACAGCCCAATCCCCCTCAACCCCCCTGATCTAGTCCTACGGTCATTCAATTATCACATTTCAGAACCTCAACGGGCAGTCAAAGCTCAGTAATCCAACAGCTGAAGAAAAGCAGGGGGTTAGTACCAGAAGGGGTGGGGCTTAATCTTGACTTGCAGAGAAGTAATTGCTTGTGTACAGCCTACAATTTAAGGGGCTCCACAGGGAATGATAAAAAAAAAACAATTATAATCCTGGCCACTTTTTAGGCCAGGGAAGGTTGAATCAACCTTTGACCCCCACAGAGCTGTGCCTGATAAACCACTGTATTTTTTTTTTTTTTTTTAATATATAAAATGCTGTTTTTACCCTTTTTTCATGTAACCTCTTTCAGCTACTTCCCATCTACATGCAGTCTAGCATGGGGTGCACATCATTGCTCTGGACAAACTTCCCGATAGGAAATTGGTGGTCCATGCCATCACGATATGTATCAGCATGGCTGTATGTTGTCACCACCAGAGGTCCACCCACTACAGGCAGCCTACAGAAAACGACAGGAAGGGGGCGGAGACAAGACCAGTCACCCTGCACAAGGAGAGAGAGCATCATCATCCCCTCACAGCTACTTCCTCATGTATCACTTCTCTCTCACTTTTAGATTGTAAGCCGTCACGGGCAAGGCCCTCCATACCATCTTGTCTTGAATTGTATTGTATTGTGTTGTAATGTCTTCCTTATATTGTAAAGCGCTGTGCAAACTGTTGGCGCTATATAAATCCTGTATTATAATAATATCAGAGACAAGATCACTCACCCTGCACAAGGAGAGAGAAAGCAGCAGTGACTGGTCTTTATTATAGGAGGGGGCGGAGACCAGACCAGTCACCCTGTACAAGGAGAGAGAAAGCAGCAGTGACCGGTCTTTATTACAGGAGGGGGCGGAGACAAGAACAGTCACCTAGCACAAGTAGAGAGCAGCAGTGACCGGTCTTTATAACAGTGAGGTTTCACACTGGATTACTGCACAGATCTGGAAGAAATACACAAACAACACCAACATTCAAGGAAGAATACACATAATATACAATATTTCGGTGTCTCTGTTCATCTGAATTGAGCAAATTCTTCTCATCCAATATACAATTACATATTATACACAAAAGCACGTTTTTTAAAATCCTTTTTGCTGGCTTTTGGGGGGTTCTTTAGGCCAGAGGACAGTAGGTGGGCTACCCATCATGTGATCCCAGTGATTGGCTGTCTTAGTGGCCATATGATTAGGAGCCCATCCCAGTTATAAGCAATGACAGCTTGGCCACTGTGCTGGGGGCGCCAAGAGAGCATAATTTCATCGGGGCGTTAAAGCACCGTGCCATTCTGCCAGGTATAAGTGTATGGGCGGTGGCAAGGTGCTCACATTGGCACACAGTTTACTGTAAGCTATACAAGTTCACATATGTAAGAAAAGTCCCCTATGAAATGGTTTCTTTGGATGTTAAAGTGTTTGTCCACGTGCATAACAATGAAACCACAAAACATGGCAAACAAAGGGTGAGCGGTATACAGGACAGGTGAGACAGGACAGGTGCGTGCGGAGAATACCAGGTAGGTGGAAATACCCGGCACTTGTGTGAATATGGGCAGCTGATGACAGCGATACAAAAGATAAGGAAATGCTTCTTTCCATGCTGGATGAAAAGCCAAGCGGACCTCCCTGTATTATAATGTCAGAAGCATAATACCGTAACACCTGATACTCACCTCGGATGACAGATGAGCGGTCTTCTAACTAAACAAGTTATTATTATAACAATCATCTGTGGGACATTTGTATGACATGTTTAATTTGTTTGCTGTTCCATATTTTTACAGTTGCATTTCAAGTCCATATTTCTATATGGCTCCCTCTAGTGATTATCTGTGTGACGGTGACCACAATTGGCCTTTCCTGTTTAAGGTCAAGCCAAAAATGTATTTTTTCTGGTTTTGCACAGAGAAAGGATTAGAACAACTGTCTGTTTTTTATGGCTATCCAGAGCTCAGGAAGAGAGATTTATCTGCTGACAATGTTTTACCGGACAGGAAGTAAGGGAAAAAAATCATAGCTTCTACGGAGGAGATTAGAAGGAACCTGTTGCTTTGGGCTGTCACGTTATAATTTGTGGTCCGTGTGCCCACTGGAGAAATTCCCCTCACTTCCTGTTTTACCGGACATGAAATGAGGGAAAAGCACATTTGGACTGTCAAGTTTTAATTTGTGTTCCATGTGCCCATAGCAGAGTTTTATCCTCACTTCCTGTCCTGCTTACAATGTTTTACCGGACAGGAAGTAAGGGGAAAAAAAAATCATAGTATAAGCGTCCATGGAGAAGATTAAAGTTAACCTGTTGCTTTGGCCTGTCACGTTTTAATTTGTAGTCCATGTGCCCGAAGGAGAGATTTATCCTCACTTCCTGTCCTGCGGACAATGTTTTACTGGACAGCAAGCAAGGGAAAAATCATAGTATAAGCGTCTATGGAGGAGATTAAAGTGAACCTGTTGCTTTGGGCTGTCACGTTATAATTTGTGGTCCCTTGAGCCCACTGGAGATATTTCCTCTCGCTTCCTGTTTTACCAGAATTGAAATGAAAGAAAAGGCACATTTGGGCTGTCACGTTATAATTTGTGGTCCATGTGCCTATTGGAGAGACTTATCCTCACTTCCTGTTCTGCTTACAATGTTTTACTGTAGAGCACGTAAGGGAAATTCATAATATAAGCGACTACGGAGGAGATTAAAGTGAACCTGTTGCTTTGGGACGTCACGTTTTAATTTGTGGTCCGTGTGCCCATTGGACAGATATATCCTCACTTCCTGTCCTGCTGACAATGTTTTACTGGACAGGAAGTAAGGGAAAAATCATAGTATAATCATCTACGGAGGAGATTAGAGGGAACCTGTTGCTTTGGGATTTCACGTTATAATTTGTGGTCCAGGAGCCTACTGGAGAGATTTCCCCTCACTTCCTGTTTTACCGAACTTGAAATGAGGGCAAAGCACATTTGGGCTGTCTTGTTTTCATTTGTGGTCCATGTGCCCATTGGGGAGATTTTCCCTCACTTCCTGTCCTGCTGACAAAGTTTTACCTGACAGGAAGTAAGGGAAGATCATAGTATAAATGTCTACGGATGAGATTAAAGTGAACCTGTTGCTTTTAATTTGTGCCCCCCCAAAAAAAAATTGTAGTCTTAGTACCTCGGAGATACAGGTCTGTAGTTAACACACAGCTAACAGCAAACGGTTCAGAACGCCTCATCTCTATACTTGTTATGGGTCAGCACTTGTTATGGGTCAGCACTTCGGTACTGAAGCTGCTGGATGGGCTCGACAGCCAGAACTTTCAGGAAGGGTGGCCACATTGTGGAAATCAGAGCCGAGCACGCAGCAGGTGTACCGGTTTTCTTCTGGAATGCCAGAAGGTGCGGGAGAGTGACGCTATTGATTGCCGTCACCTTTAAATGCCGGCTATTGCTCAATCCCACCGCAGGCCCTAATCTGTCACACAGCCAGAGAAGAAAAGCATCAGATCAGAGCCGCCTCTCCACAGTTAATTGCCCACGGGGGCTTATGAGAAGAGAACTTTTACACAGTATGCGAAATCCTTTCAACGCCGAGCGCTGTTTACCAAAATATAACCCTGATAGAAGAACCCTTGTGCGGCCCCAGCCTCAGCGCCGCTAATTAAAGGCTTGCCAGGGCCAGGAAGACAGTGATTCAACCCCCGAGCGGCATGTGAGCTAATGCATTCACCTCCTCCCTGGAAGGAATGTCAGAGTCCTGAAAAAACCTTTTCTTCCCCCTACCCAGGACCCACGGACTGACACCGCAGAATGTGCAGCCGCAACCA